CTATCACAAGTATTCTAAAAAGTCTGAAGACAGATATCTACCAAAAATTAGCTGTCTTATTATCGACAAGGATGTCTTAATCTTAGACCCGTATCGTCGATTGGTTCTCTCACAACCTGCTTGTAAATCCTACGGAATCAAAATCGTACAACGGCCCAGGACAAATGTGGCCGTGCCTTTACAAAACATCAATAGAACGGCGACAGGTTGAATGCATGTCCCCGGGAAAGGGCCATTTACACCTACAAAGTATCACTTCCTCCCTCTTCACGGTCCGTTTACTTAGGCATGAATCGTTGAGTATCTGGACAACATCAAAGACCGAGAGACACAGCAGTGGAATAAATCACCAACAGAATGGAGCTAGAGTCATTCTACGGCATCTCGCTTGATAGAATCAGATAGAACTCGCGTTGAATCTGTAAGGTGAACACTATTAAGATACAATCTTGATATCATATTATGAAACATATTGTGATATGAATAAGTACTGCATCATTATCTGTTAGTCAATTTATCTTGTATAGTAGAGAGAATGTTCTAAAGAAACTCAAAATGACCAAAAGGTATATATGCCATTCTGCGTACAGGATACAGAGATCGACTTGAATCATTGAAGCCATTTATTCACACAACAGAGGAAGAGTGCGCGTTAGGATTACTATTCCTGTTGCTAACACGACATTTCCGCAGGCTGGTTTCTAACAGTATTGAACAGGTGCCAGAAAACACTTCAGTCCCCGAAGATACATGCTATTAAAAGTTTAAAACGACCAGCAACGCGGACACTGAACAGAATAACACATCTGTACATCATACACACAAAACTTGTGTTATGGGTTTAGATTCCTATGAATAGTTAGCTTAGTCTGTACATCAAGTACGTGTGTCCTGGCTCTGCCTTCGAATCTTTCCGTCTTCTTCAGGGAGACCCAATATAAACGTAGGTAGATGTTTGCGGAACGACAGTGCCTTCACTGTGCCAAAAGCCAGGACTAAGCGGTTGAAAAGGTCATTTGTTCATTGTGCGATAAAACTGTACAACAAGTCTGTTTCATAAACTACCCCATGCTGTATCTGCATCCAATTTTGCTATCTTTATGCTGTATTTTACTACTGTTTATTGCTTATCGATTGTACTGTATTATGTGTTTATTGTAACAAACTACCCAATTCAGGGAGACTTGTGTCCTTCCCTGCATATGTATGTTTGCGGTTGGAAAACCAATAAAGACGTCGTCTGATTAGTACAGTTTGAGGCAAACTATTGCTCGGGGATAGAATGACAGGGATGCCAGGAGATGTAGGAACTCTCAAAGGTGCATTTTAAAACGCACAGCTGTTAAGTCTTTGTTCCTGCAGTTGTTTCGTTCTCTCCAGAGAGACCATGGGTAAGTACATCTTCAAGCAAACCTGTGATAAAGGATGGACTGCCAGGGATGCTTGCAGATATGGGAGCCGCGAAGGTGTCATTTTGAAACGCACAGTCTGAAAATCGTCTCCTTTTCTTGTGTTTTATTTCTCTCCAGAGAGACCCCGCGTAAGTACATTTAGAGGTAAACCTCCGGTCAAGGAAACCATTTCCAGAGCCCCTACAAATGCCATATCCCTTAGGTCTAAGGTGTTTCCTTGAAACACATACAGTCAGTATCAGTAAATCTTGTATTGTTTATCGATCTACTTTTCTGCAGGGAGATCCCAGCAAGGCCGAGAACAGGGTCCGCTGGTGACGTGGCTATCCCATCATGCCCTGAGCCACCGAAGCCTTTACTGACTCCAGAATACGCATGCGTCGTGGATGATCTCTACTAAGTCATCAGCGAAGTTCGAGGCGATTCTATGCTATTAACTTTGTCCCAATTGTCTATAGTCTCTAAGAAAAAGTTGTATGAGAATATTTATCGTTGTTTGATATTTATATGTAGCTAAAGGGTTACACCATGTAAAGGGTTACACCATGTCGGAATATGGAGTTCTGCATTTTGAGTATTGGACGATGAGGACTGGAAGCTATAGAATACACAAGATCCATTTTAGGACAATGCCATAGCAACTTTATCTATTTCCTCTCGAATGTAGCGCCTTTATGCTTTATGATAAAAGGAAAGGTGACACACCAGAAAATGAAAAACAGAACTTCTATGATGAAGCACACAACGTTCACATCTAGATATTTATGTCTAGTTCTTTGTGGTTGTTTACTGTTCGTTTTGAGAACTACCTCGTTGTATTCCCATGCAAACCAATGCGACCACATTTAAACAATTGACAAGATGTTTACCCCCCCCCCTAATTACTGGATTGTCCATTTATTCCATTTTAATACAGCGGAAACCCAAGGATCCATATTGAACTTGTTAGATGAATTTCTTTTTTTCATCGACTTTCAAACATGCTAAGTTACCATGATACTGAATGTGGAAAAGGATAAAGATATATCTTTGTTGAATAAAGAGTATTGTGACTTATTAAACTTATTAAACGTAAAGACGTCTGTGTTCTTAGTGTGATTTGCCAACTGATTTGCTATAGAACTAAGGGAAGATACGCTGAAGTTCAAAGAAACTCCGTAAGGTAGCGCTGCTGAGTAGAGTCACTCGGGAACTTTCTGTACAACGAACTATCCGATGGCGATGCTTGAAGAGAATAATAGCAGGGTTGCAGGGAGGAAACTGTATATGTGTGTGTGTGTGTTAAGTATTGTTGTAATGTATAGATTCCTAGCAATTAGCATTAGAATATAGCGTTCCAGTATGCAATACTCATGTTTTGCATACTGCATGTCATATTGTGCATTTAGCCCATCTGGGCAAGAACATGCAATAAAGATTCATATTCCACAAAATTTCATATTCCACAAAATGATGGATCTTTTAAATCAAACACATTCTATACCTCCACAACGCTGATACCTTAAACTACTGTGACGTTTGGAGCCCTCCTAGCCTGTGGATACATCCTATTAACACTTATGTTGGCCCTGTCCTTGGTGCTGAAAACATGGTTTGCTTATAATGGCCGGATGCCCTGGGGACGAGGTTAGTACCATGAGTACGAGATGGGCAAGGTAACCTTTGACCTTTGCCTCAGAACATGGGAGTCGGACGACAAAGTGTCAAGAGGTGGGTAAAATCGTCCTTTTCTTAGATGTTTCTGTATCTTACTCACAATTTACGACATATACAGCCTTCGCACACAAACAAAGAAGACATATCAATAGATATAGCCCTAAAACTAGTCGGTATTATGCCGAAAGATACCGGAAACACTACCGTGAATTCGATTTAGCAACCCGATGACTCCATACATGCACGATAAACAGCTATATACGATTCGACACTATAGTAACTACATAGTATGTTACTGGTCCTGAATAAGTACCCACCCCCTTTGTGACTTGAAGAAAAGGTTAGCATTATTATCATTCTTGAGTTTGTATTTTGACAAGTCAGGGTGGCATTTCATGCAAACATATAATATAGCTTCATGATCGGTCGCTGCTTTTGTTTACATCATATACATGCAGATTATTTGAAGACATATGCAAATTATTGGTAGGCAAATCAGCCAACTCTCGCCCGTTTTTTCCCTACCTCTCGCTGGCTGTGATGCCATGGTGATCGCTCGTTGTCTAAATGTCTCTGTTGTTGATGTCCTTATGTTACGTCTGCGTGTTATTTTATTAACACTTCCAGCAGACCTAAGACATGTACCTACACTATCTCAGTTTAAAGCAGGCTTGAAACATATGTCACATGAAACCTGACCTCTGACCTCCATTCCTTGATTTTCGTGTTTTTGACCTTTGAATGGCTAGAACTTTGAGTATAGGACTATGACTCTGTTTTGACGCATCGGACTTTTATGTTTACTGTATGTTGTCTTACTGTATGTAACAATGTCTTGTGTAATTTTGCTGGGCCCCCTTGGAAAACAGCTAAAGTAAGCTGAATGGGGCTACCCAGTCGTCTTAAGATGAAATAAATAAATGAATATTACTTACAGAAGCCCTAGACCGTCTAGCAACACTACAAGAGACCAGGGTTGTCTTACTGGACGTGTTCGCCAGCTGCACAACAGTAACAGCGACATATGGTAAGACATTCGCACTCTATCATGCAAATGTCCAAAATCGCTGTAACCCCTTCTATCTTTAGTCAAGGTGTTGAATTATATATCAAAGGAACTTGGCCTTGAAAGCTCATGCAAAATAGTTCCTTAAATGATTTTGAAGTGAGACGAAGCTCTGAAAATGCATTATAACGTAATCACATAGTCACAGTATCAGTGGCTCATACTACCGTACTAGATGCAGTTAGTCAGAATTCCGCTAGGAGGTGCCATTTAAATAGGCTGTCTGTCCAACTGCCTTGTTCAAGTGTCGTTGAACGGACTTTCCCGCACTAACAATTTTTCTTGCGAGGAGGCAATTCATGTGCAAGATATTGCAGCAAGTACGGCCTACTTGCGTAATGGGGCATGTCTGGATAGTTTAACTGCTTTGTCAATGCGAAACTGTGCAGTACAATTTATATTAATGAATGAAAAGGCATTTGCGGCACCCAACATTCCGGTGTTGAGCCAAACCCTTGAGCTGCCACATACGTGAGAGGTCAGGCTAGGGTTCAGGTTAGGGTTGGTATTAGAGTTAGGAGTTAGGGTTAGGGTTAGGGTTAGAGTTGGGATCATTGTTCAGGGCTAGGGTTAGGTTAGGTTTAGTCTCCCACATCACGACTAAACCCATCCCACCCCTTGTCTTAGGTACGTTGGAAACCCTCAAGTAGTGTCGGAGTCATGTATTTGGCAGGATCATGTATTTGGCTTGACACCGGGTACAAGAACATGAGGGGGGCTGCCAAACGTTAACGACGATCTTGCGCAATTCATCTCGCGAGAGTACAGCTGACCAATCAGCTGCCAGACAGACCGCGTGACGTTCTGGTCTCCAGGGAAACCGTTCCGTAAAGCGCGGGCGGGCTGGGTCCATATAACTCGGGCGTTCCAGGCTTACTTCGGCCGCCAAGGACAGAACAGACGCGTCGGGACAGACACCGCCAACTTGGGGACGACCAGAGCAATACAGAACAGAACAGGTAAGAGCTTTGTATCGTTGCTTTATGTCTTGTTGATTTAATTATGATCGGATAAGTACAAACTAGCTAATTCAATGATTTTAGGACGTTTATGTTTATGTAAGGGAGTTTCAAGCCCTTGTGAGAGCTCCTTGGTTTATGCAATCTATAAGTGGTGATGTGTGTTTGACTCGCTGCTATACGCTACACAACACATAAAGTGTTAATAAATTTTTAATGATACTCTTAAACACCATAGTTGGATAAGAAAATATCTTCTCAAATATGTGAAAAGTACGAGGAAATAACAAGTTTTTGGGAGCATATGTATGACCTTGTTACAGAAGAATGCGACTCGTTAGAAACACATTGTCACCTGTCCCTAGCACTACAAATAACCCGTTAAGTTCTGGTCCCACCAACTTACTTATGGCATTAGAGAGGACACGAAAAGAGCAACAAAGAGCCCTTTCTGTCTGTTTTTATTTAAGGGGGACCTTTTACATACACAGGTATACAATTATACACCACGCAGTTTTTATGAATTATTAACTGTGTTAATACGTACGGAATGCATTGTACCAAACGTTAAAATTGGATGTAGGCTGCAAAAGGTGTGGTTTCAATGAAGCATTTAACCCATAAGTCACAGTATAAAAAGAAAAGGTGGACATTTAGTATAATTTGAATCGTGTCTTGCGTCATTTATACAATGGTTTAGAATGGCCATTGAAGAAATACCCAAGACATGCACTTTGGTCATGTATACAGGAGTACCAGATTGACTATTCAAAAAAGTAATTCCCACCCAACTATGATGTAGCTTTTTGCGTCATTCTTACAATGATTCTAGGCTAGCTATTCAAAACTACTTTCTCCACTTATCTGGTCCAATCCAACTATGACGCAGCTTTTGCGTCATACTGACAGTGGTTTTAGAATAGCTATTCAAAACTACATTCTCCTGTGATCTGATTCCTATGCACAACTAAATGATACATGTACAGTGTCAGTATGTTATGTTATGCATGCCAAAGGTATTAAAAGGCTAGCGCTGTTCAAGAAAGGTATTCCACAGTGATCTAGTGTGCCGTGGTGTAGTGTTTAGTAATCCCGTCTCTATCCCTATCAGTTCTGGGAGGGGAGTAAGCTCGAGCAAGACGGTGGACGAAAAGCACCACACATTGATCATGTTAAAGAACCACACACGTCGGTTACAGAAGTATGGAGTGGCCCAGACCAGTTACTTTACATTATACGTACCTACAGTAGCTACAAAACTAGTGTGGAACTTTCTGGTTGTGCGCTTTATATTCCAAACTCACATACAGCCGTCTAGGGTCTCCCCTGAACGAAAATTGACTTGATTGAAATCCGTGTCGCGAGGCACTAAAAAAAACTGTCACTGACAGACTTCAGAAGACAAAACCGTCCTGTAATAGCCCCTCGGCGCCACTCGCGGCCGGTAACGTGACATGTGTACGAGTTCAGTCATCAGAACACGCTACAATCTTCACTCTTATTAACTTCCTGGCAAGAGTTCCATTTCTGTGCGAGCACGGCTAATGCCTTACGTGGGTGGTACATGGACCAACCTCTGAGTTCGCTAAAAAAAAGTCCGATGGAAAGTAAAACTTAATGGAGTAAAATGGTTTAAAAGGTGCCACCGACTGCGTTATGTTTTACCTTGTAGGAAGTAGAGAAGGTATGGTTCCACCTTTCGTTATTAATTATCATTTACCATGAGGGAAAGATGAGCAAGTATTTGCACTACATGCGTCTAATGTCTATCATCACTCTAAAGCTAAGGGAATGAGCAAAAATGTTCAGGGAATTAGTGTACAGAAAGTTGGACATTTTGTCATCTATTTTGAGGAAAAACGCTTACTGAAGTAAAATGAAGTACTGTAACAATGATTTGCTTCTAGAGAGAGGATAAATTATAGACATCAAATTGCAGCACTAATAGACAGCTATAAAAATAGAAGCTTAAAAATGGAAAGGCGGATATGAACAAGGCTTTTACACGAGTAACACCTCAGTAGGCGGGATCTTAATCGTCTTTGTCTGCGAATTGTGAGTAAAGTTGTTTTTCGTGAGTCATAAGCTTTGCCAGGTGTCTAGAAGTCTTAAACTGTTAAGATCCTCGGATACTTGTCGCTAAGACGATTAAGGCTAGACGCTACTTGCGACAGGTGGTCAGTTGTGTAAGACACCGGTCGTGCAAGCCTTTCCAACTTCTTAATTAACATGCAATTAAACGTTCGTACAGTCGTGAGGTAGAATATACCCTGCCTGCCTACTGCCTATATGCACAGGCCAGGTACTGGCCCCTTGCTCCCCTCTGCCAGGTACTTCCAGCCAGCTCTATCAAGGGCAATTGTCTCTGCTTCACTTTTGGCAGTACTATTCTGGTAGAATATATGTTCATATCGAGACAAGTTATATCTGATTTAAGATACTGTGGCGTGCTATGGTGTGGTGGATAACTTAACTAGTACCTGGTGTCACAAATAGACACTAACGAACACAAAACAAGCCACCAGGGGTCCAAAATCTAACAGGCAGAAAAGGAGTTGGGACCTAACCCACATCTAAAACGCCCTTGTCGCCTTCACTCTGCTCATGTTCGACAGTTTCCAATAACGACCACCCCCAGAGGAAATACCACCGGAAAACTCATCTCATACACGTCATTTTCAGACGACGTTTCAACAATTCACCACATGACTTCCCCTCTTTTTACGCCGCCGTTGTCTTTGTGTTGTTTTGTATCTGTTTGTGACCCCACAAGAAATTACCCGCATAGGAACACCTACGTCCGGAATGAAATCAATAAGAATCCATGAATATTTAAGATCTAATAAGAATCGAAGTTCTTTGTACTCCCCTTGTGGGCTTGTCTGCAATGAGGCTTGGTACCTTTGAGCATGATGCTAAGGAGTATCCTGTGGCGGTGGATACGGGTAAAACAAAGATATACATGAGTTAAACTTTATGGGTTGTATCTACATGGATTCCTTTCATGTTTTAGTGCTTTCATCGCACTCGTCACCCGTGACCTGCCCGAAAGTTTCCGGCAAGTTTGGGCAATGTTCCAAGGTACTTTAGGCAAGCCCCTTCTTTCGCCCTTACCATTTTCGAGAAAAGAAACGAGCTCGATGTTTCTTGCATTGGCCTGTGCTGACCTTTTTCTATCAAACCCTTAAGGTGACCATCTTTCACGCCTTTCTCTCAGTTTTGTTTTTATGAAAACAATATCTCAACGACTCCGTAACTTAACTTCTCCAGCGGGCCTGAAAGGTGCGTGGGCCATGGGAGTCCTTCTCTTCTTTGTTGTTTGGCGGCCAACATCAACGAATGTTTTATTGTTCTCACAGTATAACAGTATAACATAGTACAACGCAAAGTGGTAGCGCACTCAAGTATCTTATATAAAGCTACCACGTATACATAGTAAACTAGTAAAAAGAAGCACCAACGCGCTGATTGCTTTGCCGTACTTGTTTGGAGAGCCATGCTGGCTCAGGTAAGTGGTCTATGTAACTTTCTTTTCACTCTACCCTCCATTCAAGACAGTCTTTTCTCAACTTTATACACGAGACAGCATTCCCACTGTACATGAGACAGTCATTAAATTTGTACGAGAATTAGCAGGCTGAGCATTATAGTCATATTTGTCGGGTGTTGCTAAGGCGGATCATCGTACAAGCAGATTCCGCTGAGTGGATCTCGTCTAAATGATGTGGGGATTACAGGTTGATCCCCGGTTAGATCCGGATTGCCACACGCTAGGATCAGACTAATATGCGTCAAAGAAAATGTGTCCCTGTCCTTCCCACTCTTAGGGAACGTCGTGAACTGGCGGCAGTTAAACTGCTCAAAAACATGCTAAACCCGGAGCATCCACTGCATGACTTGGTACCGGACGTGAGGCCAGCAGGAACGGGAATGTCTCTCAGGAACTCGGGGGGGATCAGGGTACCCAGGGCTAGAACAAACAGACTGTATAATTCATTCTTACATTACTCAATCCGTCTATACAACAGCCAAATGAAGGCTTAGTGCCTCTATGTATAATGTAAGTGTTGTGATGTCTCTAATGTACTTTTGCTAAGTTGACTCGTGTTTACTTTTTGTTAGGTCAACCCAATTCAGTTGTACCATGTACTACTGCTATGTTGATTTTTTATGAATAAAGTAAAGTAAAGTAAAAAAAATGTACAAAGACGCACTGAAATTAAGTATCAAGTCACGCAATAGGTCCCATACATAAGTACGGCCGTCGTACTTAGCACAGCTTCTCCCAAACATTCAACAAAGAGAGGCAACACGCAAGTACGATTTTCTCAAAATCCTGTCACATCTGACAATTGAATTGATTGTTTTTTTGGTTATATCAGCTTCAGGTACAAAGGTATAATCTGAAGAGTACATAGCAAATTTTCAGGTGCTACAAGTAAAAGAGACTGTTCTAAGGTGTTAGTGGTTTGAACAGTGTACAAGAACTTAGGTTTCCAATAAACGTTAGTGGGGTCGTGTGGCGTGTAGCGGCAGCGTTCTCGACTCGGAACCAGAGGCCCCGAGTTCGAGTCCTGACATGCCACCGATCTTGTGCCCTTGGGAAAGGCACTTTACACGACTTTCCTCACTTCGCTCAGGTGAAAATGAGTATTGTACTGTCCCTGTGTTGGTGGCGGCATTAATATAAGTTGAAAAAAACTTGAGTGTGCCGTCACCTCGTCTTGTGATTGCATGTTTCGGAATAAAAAAAATAAATAAACGTACATAGTTCTAAAATATTCCAGGTCCGACTCATTTCAGGTTCATATTTTTTCCAAACCAAAAGTAATCAGCATGGCAGCTGACGAATGGGAGGATCATTTTCTTGTGACCAAAGAGTAATTCTGATATTACTGAAACTTAGAAATGGATGTTTGTATCGCACCACCTTGATGTTTAATGATGCAATATTGCAACAAACCCCGCGGCCAAAGGTATATTATATACGACAGGCAATGAAATAACATTTGAGACCATGGGGCATTTGATGTTTGGTTAAATTTTATATTGGATGGTCATAATTGCTCTATTGCGACAGAAATTATTTCCTCAATAAAACAGAACAGAAATCTTCACTTTCAAAACAGGATCTTTAAATCGTCAAGGAAATGTTTTCTGCCACGCTGATGACGATGTTCACGGTTATGACGTCTGTATATGTCCCCGTGAGCACCAGTTTCGCGTGTGGATCATGCCGAAAGGTGTGATTCATGTGTACATCCGACAGGGCTGGCACTGGTAGTCTATCATTGTCACTCATCCACATGTTTCTGTGTTGTTTTTGGTAGTATAGCGGCTATAGCCGTTCTTCAATGTAACACACCAGCCTTGCAGGCATGTGGAGGCGGCTGGTTATATTAAATGCTCCAAAATGCTGCCTTACTTCCCCACCGTTCCCTACCACAAAAAAACATTTTTACTACTAAAATCAAAGAACCCACATATTACAGAAGAAGTGGGTAAATTCGTCTTCCACTGCCTAAAAAGAAGAAGTCAAACCCAGTAAAACTAGTGTCATGTCATGTTGTAGAATATAGTATAATGTTAGAAGTAGATATAGTCTCACATACCACTGTACTTTCTTTCTATGTTGTTTGGAACTGCAATTAGCCTTCGGGCAAGTATTTGCAATAAACTTTCTGATATAAATATAAAATTAAATTACATTAAATTACAACACATCTTCGTCCCATACTGTATAGACTCTCTGGAGAAGTTGTGTGCTTGTCAGTGTCTGAATCTCAAGTCATAAGTGAAATGGGGATGAACAGAATATTCCACTTAAGAAAATGCCTCTGTAGTGTTTTTGTCAACATTTTTTTGTCCATTTTTTGGTAATTTTTACCGTCTCCACCACGACCGTTCTAGCCTGGGTCCCACACGCCGCATCTACCACCGGCTTCTTACTAGCTTCCCTGGTGGGCCAACGGTAACTGCGATGAAATGACTAAAAAACTGGTGGACGTCCCAACTACTAAGTACCTAATACCAGCCCAGAAGAGAACAAGAAATAGCCATGCCTTCAAGTACCAGAGTTATCAACCAAGGATTGCGGTGTTAAGAAGTCATTCTTTCCTAGAACTATCGCAGAGTGGAACTCGCTGTAACCTAGTACAGTAGGGGCATTGTCATTAGATAGCTTTACCATGCCTAGAGTTAGATGTTCAAGGGTTAGGTGTAACAAGCGCCGCGTGCCTGCGAAGCTGGTGTGTTACGCCGAAGGGCGGTTATACCGGCTATACCGATACAGATGGATTGCAGGCTACCAAGCTACGACCCTTCGTGGTTTACATCCAAATTGGCCCTTTGTTGGTGAACACTACTTTGCGGTTACTCATGAAAAAAGCAATAACACATCCATTATTTTGTCACCTTATCCCCGGTATGTAAGGGATCATTACCTGCACGAAAACGTGTCATATCGGATTTTTCACGGCTGTTGCTTTTCTTTCATGCCCAGTTGAGTTTCCCCGTAAGGTCTGCTCTGATGCCATCAATAATGTATTGATGCCAGGGGACCAGGCGTATTAGACAGTCCTCATTGAATTATACACGCTTTGGGAATTATTTTTTTCTCATATATGATACAGATATAATACATTGTTCTTCACTAGAAGAGTAAGTAAGTTACAAAGACTGAGAATGATTGTTGTAGAAATTTGTCCAGAATAGACAAAGGCACAAACAAAATACACGATCAAATTTCTCTAAAGGTAAGTATCATCTCGTGAAAGGTAGGCAGTGAGATCTTTGTGTCACTACATAGCTTGACTTAATCGAGGACAACAGGCGAGAGCGTACATGATTTTTATAGTTCCTTCCAAAAATATCAAGAGCTTTGCCTTTGAATGCAGTTAAGCAAGTGGTAAAGGACGTTGTTTTTTGATTTTAATATCTCAATATGATCCTCATCGGTTGACTGCAGTGCAAACATTCCAATAGTTTTTCAAAAAGGATTATCCACAGCCCCATGCCAATGTGTCAAAAGGTCCTGATCTTTGACTCTTCACACATCAGATGCTGGCAAAAGCGAAAGATAATTGCAGCTCAGACTCTAACCTGACACATTTATACAGCTGTAACCTAATTATCCCTTACACAAACTGTCATGCTAAAGTGCATTTATGTAGTTTGGAAGATCTTGTCTTCATAAATGAATTCTGCGATCAATCCAGGCGAGTTATGTTCGCTTCAGGTACGTTCGCACGAATTACGCTTAGATGAGTGGATGCATGTGCGAGCAGATACAGTTTCATTGTGCTCTTTATTATCAATAGTTTAACATAAGCAAAAAAATGCACAAAACGTTGACATTCACACGGTGTAGCCCAGCATACTACTGCTCTGTTTATTCTTACGCAAACATGCTGTGACCAGCTCCTCCAACTCTGTCTTGCTACATAATGTAATTCAATACCATAGAGTGTCTGCTACAGTCCCAGTCACCACGGTGACAGCCGCCCATGTCATGTCATTGACCTTATGTATTTGCAGAAGAGGAAGAAAAATCAGATGGAAAACATGTTTCTGCGAAGGTAACATAAAAAGTGTAAAAACAATATGATCATTATCAGCGACCGGTGTAGGATAAAATTACATGAACGCCAAGGCATGTCGGACAGACATTATCAAGGCAATTCGTAAAGAGATCCCTTTGGGAATCTGCTAGTCCTTGACAGGCATATGGAGTATGTCACTACGTAGCTTGAGTTGATGTAATGGTAATGAGTAGATACCCTTTTAGATCTTTTAGTTCCTTCTATAACGGAAACTGTCTGTGACCATTTATCTGTTTCCTTATTAGGCATCTGATGCATATTTCAGGCAAAACAAAAATACTCTTGATGAGGAAATTTGAAATCGCTTTGCGCGCCTTTGAATAAAACTCAACATACAGAAAGGATATATACAGGGGACCTGTACATGTATATATGGAAACGGAATGAAATTCGTAGAAACCAACCGTTATTGCTTCTTGCCAGTAGCAAAGTATAATAGGGGCAGTGGCAATTTTGGTAAAAAGTCATCGTAGAGTTGAACGGCTGACTAAACGGGTACAAGTTCGCAATTACAAGACTGTGACCTTCCTTGGTAAGACACGGCACCAGAGATCGTATCAAAGCTACTGAGTAACAAAGTCATGAATACAGCGATAGCTCTAGGAAAATACGAGTTTATGAACACCTCTATCCTTGGTTGATAATTCTGTACGTTCTTGAAGGCATAACTAGTTCTTGTTCTCATATGTCTTAGTCCCCTGGACTTGAATTCGTATTTTGAAGCATGCACAATATCAAACGTTGGAATGAATACTTCAAAGGAGTTTCAGAGTTTTGACAGCATCTGGCAATTATTCCGTACCAGAGGTGCCGGTCATGATTGTGAAAACTGGGAATCCTCGGCGGGGTCAACGGCTTTTGAAGAGGGTCGCTGAATTGTGTAATCTGCCTGCGCTTTGAAAGGCAATTGCGTACGGAAAGAAGTGGGCTAAAGGGTTGTGCCGGATTTGAAAGAGGGTCACTGAATTTTGTAACCCCGCTTTGAAATAGGCAATTGTGTAGAAACGCGTGGACTGAAATTGATGGAAAAATTTTCTCTGGCGATCTGGGAAATTGGTCGAAGGAAATTTTTGCTGTTGTCACGACTTTAATATACAATAGACATAAAAGCAGCACGGAGTCAGTGGTAGGCCCCTATTGTATCCAGAACCCTGTATACATAAAAATAAACCAATAACTAGAGAAGTAACATTTGCAAAGCAAATGCATAATGTTTACCTTCGAACATGGTCTGCTCTGTTAAATCTTACTCAAACAAATTCACATACGTGTGCTACTAGTATATGGTGACAGGAGCAGAGCAGACCATGAAATTGCAACATTATATAGCCCAAGACCAGTCACCATGGTAACAGACGTCAACAAATCATGTCATTGGTCAGGTCAGAGGTCACTGTTTGGAGAAGAAAAAGAGGAAGAAACTGAGGAAAAACAATATGTTTTCCTTCGGTAAACATAACAAAATCACGAACAACCATCGCCTTGATTTTTACTGTCAGCAATAGTTTCATTTGTCTGGAACAGAAAGGCGAAAAAAATAACCTAAATCAATATGTTTACTCCTGTGTAGGTTAGCATAGCAAGTCCTTATTTACATACATCCGTTACCAACTTAAGTGCCCCACTGTCATGTAGTGATTTTAAAAGTTCATGCTGGTGAAAATAATCATGTATACTTCTCTTGACTTTCATTTTCATGGATATCTTGTCGAAGTAATTGTAATATAATGTTTTGTTGTAAACATTCGTTTGATATGGGTAGAAGCCATATAGGGTGATGACTTCACAAAATGTACTGGCAAGGGTGTAGGTATTGAGTCCGAGAGTTGTAGCCATCTCGGAAAGGTTGCTGTTGTACTTCTCATTCCAGAACCTAAATGCAAGACAATTTTTGATTAGAGTGATATTTGACAGAGATACTGTAATAGATGAAAGAAAGTCAGGACCCACATCCGAATGAAGCATTTTGCGATCAATCTTGCCGAATGGGGTCAAAACGGACCCCGATATGTTTTAGTGACAGATAGATAGAAAGAAAGAGACTGAGAGAGACTGAGAGAGAGAGGGAGAGAAAGAAAGAGAGATTTCATCATGGGACACTTACGTTTTGATATGAGGTCTTGGTGGAGACACCGAATACGTGATTGTGATGTTAAGATCCAACTTCCTTATCATCGTGTTTAAAGCAGTAAAGTTTCCGTGGGTGCCGAGTATATAGCTCATTATGGAGTTATTCCGAGAAATTATCAAATGGGGGTCTGAATTGAGTCTATCTATTTGGTCTAATGCTCTCCTGTTGATAATGGTCATGTTCGTCTTCTCACCGACATCCTGAAACAAACAAAAATATCAACTAGAGTTCCACGATCTCATACCTTCGCCAAATGATGCTAGCCTTTATGACTCAGATATTATATATCAATCCCCTATTATGCATGAATTATATCTGTTGATCATATTCTACACCAAAAGATAGTCTTATCTTAACAAAGAATGCCATTATAGCATTTTCTCATAAATTATGCAAATGAGGTCCTTATTTAAATAAGTTCTACTTAATGATGTTCACCTTTAATCAACTTTCAAATACTATAGATCTTACTTGTAAAGATACTAATAAAGGATTGCATTAGCATCTTATAGTGATCGATCAAAAGGACAAGATGAAACATGGAGGTATTGTCACCTGTTCGAATGTCTTTAATGGAGCACCATTTACTCTGATAACAAAATCATTGCGGTCAATGTCTTCCCCACAGCCGCTTTCAAGGAGAATGCCGCTATTGCCGACAACCGCGCATGTCCGGTAATGTCCCACTGGTGTTGTCGTGACAGACGTTCCATTTTTCTCAGACTGGTTAAACTTAAAGATGACGAAATTTTCTGATGGGTTGAAAGAGCGACTCGTCAGATTGCTGAAACAAAAATGTTAAAATATTTAACTTGTGTACATATATGACTGATACATTTGACGCTACATGGCGCAAAAAATGTTATTCTTTCATATCCCGTCTGTACAACTCCTCAAACAACATTATCCAATCTGTTTTCAAATCTGATGTAATATTCCGCAACAGATTCTTCCGCAATATCTGGGCCCGTCATTTTTTGCCTGTCTTCCAGTGACACCCACTGTAGGTTTGTTTTCATTTCCGTGACACTAGCACCACTTTCATATTTGTTTATACAGAATCTTGCAGCTTCGTTTTTGTACCATTTCCAGTTTGTGTACCATTTCTTTGTATATGGATCCCTCTTAATAAATAATAGTGTTTTGCAAAAATGATTTGAATATTTACTTATCTACACAAGAAATCAGTCACTCAAGCAACTGGATAAATGTTGAGATACACTTACCTAATACGAAATGCTGATGTAACGTTGTACCAGTCGATGAATGAACCCTTAGTGCCAAAGGCTGTAACTTTTCTCTTCATCAGGGGTTTTGTACTGAAGCTGACGCAAAAACAATATTAAATCTAGCGTGAGATGTAAAATGACAGTTTATTTAAAAGATAGAAATGTACTGTGTAGGTAATTTCCATTCGATTTGCTGTATTTTCTATCAAGTTATCAAGGTATTCCTGTGGCTTTTACGTGAATACAAAATCGGTACATTTGTCGACAAAGTATGTCTCACCTCACCTCACCTCTCGTCACCTCCCCTCAACTAACAAGTTAATCACTGTTAAAGGCTTCGATTATTTGCGCGTTTCTTCCTAACAGAACTTGACATCCTCACTGAAATTGACATCCTCTGAACAGGCGAAAATCAATGCGCGCGAGGATGTCATAAAATTAGGTCGGTGTGGCCTTAACAACATTCTACAAGTTGCATCACGGAATGATCACTGTTGACTCCCGTAACCTGCCCACTGTCAGTCAACACAAACGACAGACAAGACGGTCACACCCCCTGACCTACGACATGTGCTTTGTGGAGACATGCTTAATGTGCTTAATGTGCTTTATGCAGACATGCGTCTCTGCAGAACAACACACAGGCAGATGTCTTTCTTTCCACGAACTGTAGCTGAGTGGAACTCCCTGCCTGCGAGGTCGTGTCTGTCCAATCCTTAGACTCCTTTAAGAACAAGCTGGATAGCTTGCAATAGCTGCCATTTTCCGACACATTACTTTTGAAAAAAACATCAACATGCTACCGTGACCTCTGACCTCACCAACCAACCAAGTGCGGCAAAGTACGTTGATGTTGGCCGTCAATCAACAAATAAGACTAAGAAGTTCAAACCACTGAACTGACGAAGAAGACATATCAATTTTAATTCTAAAGCATTATGTACGAATCTTCTTTGTTCACATAATCTCTCCCCCCACCTGAAATAACCTTTTAGTAACAAAACTAGAAAGGTAACATTTGCAAAGCAAATCCATAATGTTTACCTCCACAATTTATTTATCTATTTATTTATTTATTTATTGCAATTCTTCACATACACATGTGCATGGAAGACATGGTAGAACAGTTGGACTTAAGTACACCTTTTCAAGGCCACCATGCCGACAAACAAATAGACGATTGGTCTAGCCTAACAAACTACTGCTCTGTTTACTGTTACTCAAACACAAGAAGGTAAACATAAAGATACTTACTTCGTAAGGTTGTATTCCTGCAGCAGGAAGAAAGATAAAATCAAAACTACAGCAAATAAGACTGGAATGGTGATAAAAGATCTTTTCATAATCTTAGCCATGTTTCAGTAGGCCAAAGAAAATAGTTGTGGTCGAACGGGTTGGAGACAGATTAACCTTCTACCTGCTGCCTAAACCGGCAAACAAGACAACTAACTGCTACCTTGGTAGGGTGCACTGACACTCCCTAATTAGTCAACTTGTGACCTTAATTACGCACAATGTTGGGAGCCACGCTCCTCCGCAGCGTCCGCTAGCGCGCTATAATTAAATCCACATCTGGGCGCGCGGCGGGATCCCCAGAGCAACACAGTGCGGAAGCATTAGCGTGTATTTGTGTCCTGAGGCCGAGAACGCATTTTGCGCAAAGCATGCTGGGTAGCAGAGTGAACTGTCCTGGGGACGAGAGTTTGTGGCGCGGAGAATGCCAAAACTCCCTCCGTGGCTAAGTTCCTTCCGCGACTAACTCCCTTCTGGGCAAATGTAGAGGGATAACGGTACACCCTCATAGCGTCACCAAATGAGGTACTTTGTAAAGGTCCGTTTCATTTGGTATATATTACCATTGTGACAGCATTTTATACCCCAAAATAGGAATCTTGCGTCTTGTTTTAGGTCCCGATGTGTACATGTATTCAGATGGCCGCCGTGTAACGTTAAGACTAGCGAGCGCGCACAACAATACCGCCAGAGTAGAGTAGGTTATCATAACTCTTTAGAAAGCGCAAAGAAAACAAAAACGACAGATTTGCATTAAAGAAAGTTTATTTTCCATAGCCTGGGCTAAGCCACGATCTATAACCTATGGCTTCTCCACGGGCGCTGGGGACGAGCGTGGTTGGGAGCACAGACACTCACCAGACGTTATTGGTCCATCCAAGGACACCCCCTGGGTGCACATACACTCACCAGAGGTTATTGACCCGTAAAAGGACACCCCCTGTATAATGTCCTTGGCCCGAGGCTTTTCATTTTTACACAAACAACCTTACCACCTGAAATATGACAAACATGTAACGAGCTTTTTGTCACAGATATTTTAGATGCTTAAATGAAATATAAAAATTCGCATTCCTTATGAAAATTGACAAGCCATGTATCATTATCCCCATATGCTCGTACATATGCGACTGTCTCAAGAAGCGAGAAAAAGCAGATTTTGGGAAGTACGATATAAAAGAGACCAAAACACAGAAAAGTTTTTCATGGCCACTATTTCTGTGTACTTTTGATATGAATTGTTAATTTTTCCTTCATACAAACAGCCCGGCCTGGCCCCGGTTTGGAAATGTGACCTAAGCATAAGTATGTCAGATCTGATTGGCATAGATCGGGGTTTACTGTGCCAACTGGGTCGTTCTGTTTTATGAGTTCCACCTCAGGACGTGTCATTTATACATGAACCCCGTCCTACAGGGAAATACAGCAGGCTTGAGATGGATGACACGTTCAGCCTGGTCGTTATTAAATTTTATTGCTTTATGAGAAAGATCAGAGATCGATACTTAAGTCTGTTTTTGATACCTCTTTGAAAAATGTCAACATGGCCTGAAGACAAGTAACCCACTTTCATTTAGCTCCCACTTTGTTCCTGCCAGCCATATACTAGTAGTAAGTCGTATTGATTTATGAAAAAAGGCCAGAGGCTGAGCCTTTGGCAATTTCTTGCTCATCTTTGAAATGTCGAAGTTGGTCAGAGTAACGTTTCTTTAATTTAGGTCACAAATATGTCTGACAAAAGTCTAAGAATGTTGAGATGGTACTTCAGAAGCAATGCCGATATACCGTTCTATGGACGCTAAGTTGTTTTCTCATGCGGCCTTCTCGGTCGACGATTGGGTCATCTTCGCGTCATATACGAGAGAATTACGCAGGCGTGATGATTGATAACTCGTTTACTCGCTTATTGAGTTTATTGCTTTTTGTAGAAATGAGTCAAACCGAGATCGTTTGGTCATATCTGACGCTTAAGTCTGTTTTTGAAACTGTAGGTGGTTTCATTCATCATCTTCAGAATGACGTAAAGACTTGCCGAAAACAGGATCAAAGGAGCTTAAGCGCCATTGATCAAACAAGAAAGGACGGCCATGATGTCGGGACATATTTCACATGTTCGTCTGGTTTTCACAATTTATCACTCTCACGTCTTTTGCGGCCTTTTAAATGACCCTGAAATCCTAGCTTTAGGAAGTTTCGTTCGTTACCACTAGGCACATACATCATGTTTGGACAGGAGCCGTTCCCATGCTGTGATGCAGGTGATATGGGAAAGGTGTGGAGAGTGTGATTGCCAAAATATACACGGGTGTCCTCAGAGGTTGAATTCTTTAGCATACTGTATACTATCTTTTGACTAATGCGCATTGAGCAATTCTGAACCCTTATATGTTTTGCACTGTATAATTCGCAAGCAAATGATGTGGTGCGTAAGGCTTATATCAGTGTTTCTGTATTTCAGACAAATATGGTCAACTCACATATCCTGGTGTGTGTCATGACGTCACTGCTGATGACGTTGTTGGTCCTGCCAACGGTCGAGTCTGCGCCTGCGCCTTACGATGCTCAAGATCGACTGAGCGAGTTCCGAAATCTGCTCAAGCGGCTGGACGACGAAGATGTAAGTTGATATTGCAAAAAAATAATTTCGAAAAATAAAAGATTTGCATAATTGTCACATAATTATGTCAAGCGTCACTTAAGCTACCTACATGTACATACCAAAAATCACGACGATCCGACGTTCTTGAGTTATCCTCTTATGAATATTTTCAAAGAAATGCCCCTGCAGTTCCTGAGCAAGCCACTAAGGGGCCCAAACCTACGTCACTTCTTTCCCAGCACAAGGCCTACCTACCATCCAAATTTCATGACCCTAGCACGTCCAGATCACGAGATATCAAAACCGGAAGTTCAGCTGCAGTACCATTAGAAGCCGCTAGGGGGCCCAACATCTAATCGTTTCGAGGTCTCATCAAGACCTACCCACCTACCAAATATCAAGATAATCCATCGAAGCTTTCTCGAGTTATGCTGTTGACGGACAGACACACAGACATACATACAGACACACGGCCAGGAAAACATAACCTTCGTCAATTCTTGGCGAAGGTAACAATATGTTTTCCTTCGGTAAACATAACAAGCGATGACGATGGTGACGATGACGAAAATCGTTTAAATTTTTCAGGAATCTTACCCCCTCACTGACCGAGAAGACGAGTACTCGAGCAAGATGGCGCCTGAAGAACAGGAGTTGCCGTTCGATACGGAAGGTTTCGGCTCCGAGGGGAAGGACGAGGAGATGCAGAAAAGAGGCAAGAAGAAGAAGTACCGCACCATCTGTATCGACTGGACCAAGGGGACCTGGACCTGGTGCTGGAAAGCCTACGTGAGTAGCGGACAGTAACGCTAAAAACAGTTCCTGATAATAAACAAAGACGTTTGAAAAAAGTACACTCCTCTGATGTTGGGGAACATCGAATCGCGCAAATCATTCTTCCGGTTCTAGGAGCGGTGGTGCCAGGCTCTGAACCGGCTGTCATGCGCTTACCGTGGCAGCATTTAAAAATGAATAGTGATTTGCAAGATTGTGATGTTTCCTAACATTACATTGGTGTATTTTGTCCTAACGTATTTGTTCATTGAATAACACCTATCACGTTTGACTATATTCTAGACCTGTTGCATTTCAGTGTTGTTGGTGGTGTCACCTCGTCTTTAACATCCAACACTCAAACCTGTACAGGTGACCACCTGGCCAATGTTACCATTATTGCTTGCCAAGCTAGCATCAAGAATCCTGTCTATAGTGATTATCTGTCCATATAGAGCAGATTTTCTCGGTCCCTTGAGTGTCCCTTCTTGGATAGCTTTGACCGGAAATGTGTATAGATAGTCTAGCATGGGACACTTAGTCACAGCCACTAGCCTGACGTTTCCTACTTGTCCTTCGACTCGATTTTTTTATTTATTTATTTATCTTAAAAGACAGTTGGGTGGTACCTTCAGTCTCTGAAAGACTGATTTCCAAGGTAGCCCAACAGTACATACACATTGAACAACATGGAATACAATAAACATTAAACAAAATAAACAGATTAGTCAAATGATCAAACGTATCAAATGACAATAATTGAATGCGCCATCATCAGAGATATCTTAGCACCGTGTATGACATGATATTTCACATTGTAGCGTAAAATATGTGCATTGTGATGTCCCTACAATTATGTGTTAAAATTGTGATATCAGAAGGTAAACATTTCAAATATTTAATAGATAAATATGATCTAGTTCTTGTATTTGCCATTTTATTTGTTAACATCACAATTATTTTTATTATTTCTCTGCAGTGACGAGGAAGGCGGCGTCCACAACAGCTCACCAGCATTAAAAAAACGGCTTCAGATTCATGACGTCACGCAGGAATATTTTTGTAGTCACACATATGATCATGCAAAGTATAGCCCGAATGAAGATACGCTCCGGCATAGACTATAGGACATTTGTAATGCTGTTGTATAAGCTAATATAAAGCCCTGGTTGCATACATCGCCTAGCGCTACGAGGAGTCTTTTTTTCTGTGACGATTGTGTCACAAGTCATAAGTTTGAGAAGCATCGTACCATATAATTATGTGACCGAGGCTTTAGGTTGTAAAACTAGTGATCTCTTGAATGCAAAAGTTAAACAGTTGCAGTTGAGCTTGTTTGACAGTGATATTACTAGTGTTGGTCGTTTCCTGTACCATGTAAGCTGCCTGACACCAATTATATAAGCTCTTGAACTTTTGTTCCGTAGTCTACCAGTTTGATATATGTAGGAATTGGCCTGCAATGTATTTTAGTGGTTATTAGGATTATTAATAATAAACCAATGATGGAAAACATGAATGAAACATACACCACACTGTTCTGAGACCTCACATCATTTAATACAAAATCCCCAACAAAATGAATCAAAGTAAACATTTAACACTTAAGGTCCAAATCTATTACATAAAAGAAAGCATCGTATAGAAAAGATTTGCGCACTTTGCAAGTTTAAAGTCAAAAGAAAAACAGGCTGCGGTAAATGTAAAAAGACTTCGTTTATGGAAAATTTCGAATAAGTCATCTGCTTTTAACAAGCGTAAAAGCAACAAAATTATAACAGAACTGATTTTACTGTTTGCCAAGTAACGGTTTGTGATACGTGATTCGGTATCACCGTCCAACTAGCATCTATCAGATATCATAATAAGGATAAAGATGAGCAGAACAGTGCTTCGCACATTTTCCATAGATATTTTTGATCCAAGGTGCCTGTAACAGACATCAAACCTTACGATACTAATGCAACTTATATTACAGCTCCGGTAGCACCCTATTGTAATCACCAAAATAATCCAATGTTCAAAACATAAGCCAATATACATATATAAATTACATTAACTTTACTTTAAATACATCCTAGCCTTTTCATTCAACATATAGGACATCGAAGCCAACATACCCACCATACATAACTTAGACGTTGATGTATTTGCATTTGAACATACACAGCGTCAAAATGTATCGAAATACAATTAAATAATATGTCACCTTAAATCTGTTCACAAGATATAGTCCTACATTTTTACTGTGCTATATCATAGCAAAAACAGGACTATAAAAGCACGCGTAGTGTTGCTGTCCTGATTCCAACAAAACAGTACAAGGAACGAACGAACACAGGACATACCCATTAACAGTTTTCTAAAGGGGACACTACGACTACACATTCTAAATAGCAGCTAGAACTTAAGCCAATCTATCACCAATCTACCAAACAATATCAATATCTTATCTTAATAGAAGCAATCCTAGAAAGTGCCCTAGGACACATTTTCAACGTAAAATATTGACACAGCGTACTTGCGAAAACTATTGATAAACTGTTCCCTTCCTCGGAGAATATAGAACTATAGCTCATTTCAAACATATTTCTCGTCTGTTGCCTTTTTGTGTCTTTTTTTAAAGATCAAAATAGCGTTTTAAAATCAGTTCATAAAAATAGCAAACTATGATTTTCCCAATCAGTACATGAAAGAAATAATACTGTTTTCAAGTAGCTGAAAATATATATTGTAAATTTGCAGTTTTGACACAACTGCACGAGTTGGTCAGTACTATATTGCATCTAATTATTTTTATCGTATTTCTACCAAGACATCTGAACAGTATACAAAGTTGCGGTACTATGGCCTCCTCTCTAATGGTTGATTTCATGTCGAAATACATATTGTAGTTTTTAATGTCCTCAATGGGTTATCATATTGTTTGCCATTCAAGTTGTGCTTTTTCACACGAAATTCCAAAAATTTACATAAGACACCTCATACAATCGGTACTAACTGGGTTTTCCAATGAGTGCCAGAACCAGTTTACCAAGGTTCGGGTCTGACACGCTTTGTCTGGCTATCGTCAATGTTTCCTGGTAATATCTCCACTCTGGGTGTTGGTACTGTTTTGTAACATCCTCAAGATTCTCTAAACTTCTCAAAAGACTGTCCCTGTCAAGGTCTGTCGGTGGTTTTGATGCTGAAAGTCGTGCACAGTTTAACGCTTGTTTGACGGCTGCCTCCTCTAACGCCGTCTCTAACCAGTCCAGTTTCCTCCCCACCCTAGCTGCCCGCTCCGGTCCGGTTAACTGTACAGAAGGGACAAATACACCATTAAGACCTTTAAAAGCCAACACTGCACTAAATGTTGGATTTACACATGGTCGTAAATGGCAGTTAAGTCGAGTAATGTTTAATTTGGAAACAGTACCGAACTTTACAATAGTAGTGAATAAAAGTAAAGTCTCATAATTTCAATACCATTGTATAGTCCGGTACCGTTGACAATACCAAACTTTCCTGGCATTTACTACAATTGTTACATCCAACTTTTCGTGCAGTGCAATCTTCGAAAGCCTGTGTGATCTGAAACTGCTCCTCACCAATAAAAAAATAAAAATCAGAACTAGGAAGATCAAGGAGCTAACTCTGTTACTAAGTTTAAGTTTCAGGCTCAGATTATTACAAAGATTTTTAGTAGATTTCAAAATTGTGAAATCACATCAGGCGTTCTGGTAAATAAAACAGGTGATGGTTGAAGTAACATGCTCGCATTTTGATACAAAAGTGTTTTGCTCTTTTGTACTTCTTAAGATAAATACGAAGATGTGCAAGAAACAGAAATATCATAAATGGGAATTTTCTAAATTTGTATACTGAAAGAAGACCCAGTAAGACAGCCACCTCTACAATTACACCCAACAAAAGCCCCAAACGTTGACACATCCACGGTAAGTACTTTTCGATAATTAACACATTCCTTAGAGATGACATATGAGAGAACTGAAGTAATTTAATTTCATGCACACCTTGTCAAAGAAGGAAATTGGAGAAGGTCTTTCATTTGAAACCTTCCTTCAAAAATTATAAATCAGTGCATGCCTCAAAAGTTTAGTAAGCGGCATTTCGTGAAAGGAAAAGGTCTCAAATTTTCAAGTTGTTCTCGGATGAAAAGCGCTTGTTCTGATGACGTCGCATTGGATGAGTATGTGCACACAGGATTCACTGACGTCAGATATTTGTTGGAGAGCATGTCCCCATAATAATCTGAAGCACATACTCATCCAACGAATCACTAGAACAAAGTGCAGCAAAAAAGCTCAAAGCAGATACCGGTTAAGGAAAATCGTAGCTCTTTTTGCCCAGCTTTTCCGACACACAACCCTACCAAGAATCAAACAAAAAGCTTAAATCTTACCAAGGGGGGTTTAAACCTCCTTGGTCGTACCTCACAGCATCTGCTCAGAGTTTAGAGACATTTATCTGAGAAAACACGTGAAAAGTTGCGACCTTTTCCTCGCGGAAGACACGTTCGGCGGTTAGTTCTAGACGAGATCGCCAGCCGAGGAGGCGGCGGCGAGTGGAGATACGTACCGCAGGGAGTGTCCGATACTGACCTTTTTATACCCACCTCTTGGCCCGTGCCGCTTGACTGGGACGACGTCCGTGAGCGGGCCTTCGGTGTCATGGCTGCGGGGGTGACCGGCAGGTCCTCGTTGGCGCGCTGAATCATGAGGTGGGCCAGGGCCAGCACGTTCTGCCGGGTCGGCGGCATCTGGATCAGCTCCAGCAGGTTCTCCGGGGTGAAGCCAGAGAGCTCCTCGATGTTCTCGCGGAGCTCGTCGTCCGTCATCTGGTCCAGGGGAGTGTCGAGCTTGAAGCGGCACAGGTCCTCGCCGTTAGGCGGCAGGTCCACGTCGCCGTCCTTAAGGCACAGCAGCAGCGGGGTGATGTCCTTGTTCTTGAGCGTCACGTTCACCTTCACCACCACCACGTTCAAGCCTAGGGGGTAATAGTCACGTCAGGTGTTAGATTTGGGTGTTAACGTTGTATATTATGAGACCGATATATTCATATAAATTTGATACCTTGACAACAAATATGGATAAATTTCAGTTCTTGTAATCTCTGACACTGGTATTTTTAGATTTAATATTCATTGAAATCTATTGACACGTTTTCGAAGTCATTGACAAAATACTTTGATAGGAACTGCAATGACCAAACGAGTCATTTTAAAGATAGAAAGACAATCGTCACACTATTTAACTTTAACGAGTCTAAGGCATTACTTGATCGTTCTTAACACTAACCCCACCACCATTCATAATGGAAAACGGGTGAGGAAAATCGGAGAGACCTGAAGAAAGAACGCAAATGCTCTGCTTGAGAAAAGTAAAACAGGAAGGGACGTAGAAATTCTAAGTAAACACAGTTTTTGTCAGCAAGCGCAGCGCTGATATGTTTATCCGTGCAAAGTGTACAAAAATGACGCAAGGGGACTAGGAAGCCAAGATGGTGGTGGCTTGGATGGGTCCAAGATGGTGACCAATCCTTCGGAACGCGCATTGGGCATAAGCAACAAGCAGGCATGTTGAACTCGAGGAAAGTCAACTGTCAAGAACATTTCTAATGCAGTGACTCCCAGGTTCTTCACGATATATAGATTACGAAGGGAAAGGGTATAGAATGGCACTGAAACAGTATCTCCTCGCTGTAAGCAGTGATGCGGGCTTGTCCTATGCTTGTCCAGCGTTTGTAGCAGATACGTGAAAACCGCCGTGTACCCAGGATGGTGAGGATGATGCGGCCGAGCTCCCTGTTGGTGATGTTGGTGCGAGCCTCCTGCAGGGCCTTCTCGTACTTGTGGCAGTCCTCGTGCCGGTACTTCCTGCCCAGCTCCACCAGGATGGTCAGGGCGTTGATGAGGGAGATGGCGTCGTAAGACAGGTCGCGTTTCTTACAGATCTGCTTCACGGTCCCCAGGACGTCTTCCAGGCTCTGTGCAGAAAGGAAAAAGTTTTATGTCCAAGTCTATTGTGATATCTATGACATGGCATGCAAACTTTCGACATTGCATTTTTGCAATTTTGTTTTCTATTTGGTACAAAGTTGCTCTCACCTGGTCTAGTATGGGTGATATCCACAGAGGCTAGATCAGCTATATATTACAGATATCGTATCCTTTCTCCCTTCGTCTCTTATCAAATGTCATATATCCTTCCTTCCCTCATTTCTCATCGGATATTATATGATTTCTGCCTTGCTAGCTCCTAACTCAACTCCCAAATGGCCCTTGAATCCTGTCAGGTGGAGACTTTAAATTTCGTATACCAAAACAGTAAAGACAAATCAAACTCACGTTAAAGTTTGGATGGTGGCTCCGTTCTTCGTTGGCCAGAATGATGAGGTAATGGCACAGTATAAGCGTGTTAGGCCTGCGAAAAAAACGGTTAAATATTTAATATATATATTACTACAAACACCATTGACATAACGATTTGCTTACAAAAATGGTTGTTTACGTTTACACAGGCTAAAGTTTTTGACCTCATAAGTTGTTCAATCTTCTTCTCCCTGCTTAAGTAGCCGTATGATACCAAATTTGCATTAGTTATGGGGTTAAACTGACGAGTTGTGGGGTCGTGTGGCGTAGCGGCAGCGTTCTCGTCTCGGAACCAGAGGCCCCGGGTTCGAGTCCTAACATGCCACCGATCTTGTGCCCTTGGGAAAGGCACTTTACGCGGTTTTCCTCACTTAGCTCAGGTGTAAATGAGTATTGTCCTGTCATGTATTTGTCCCGTGTTGGTGGCGGCATTAATATAAGTTGAAAAAACTTGAGTGTGTCGTCACCACGTCTGGTGATTACATGTTGGAATAAAAAAAAAACTGACGAGGAACAGAACAGAACTGACCTGTTAGGCGTGAGTCCGCAGAGGATGAGCAGTTCCTTCGGTTTGAACCCGCACAGATCGCTGGTGCAGTCGTTCAGCTGCTGTTCTCCCATCTGGTCCATGGGCTGGTAGGCGTAGAACCGCGCCAGCGGGTCCGGCATGCCGGGGTTTCCCCGCATCAGCATCAGCAGCACCTCGGTGAAGTCCTTCCCCACCAGAGTCACTCCCTGGCGCAGCACCGGGCCAACTGAGGCGGGTAACACACATCAGAACCGCGGGTCTATCTGGAGGCTACTGCGGCCCGCTGATGGCTATGCAAGCGTCAATGGTTAGCTCCCTTTCAAGCATGTTATAACGGCCTTCTCGGTCCCTTCGATCGTGCAGGTTCATGATCAAACAAGCAAAATCTGGTGACACTGCGGTCATCATCTGTCTCACGTTGATAACATTTCGCCTTCGGATTAACTTTTGCTGGTGTCTATGCAAGCGTTAATACCCACATTTTTCTTGCTAAGCAAAGTTCACAGCTTCCAAGAATACAACGAGTCTGCTCTTGCGATGTGTTTTTTCATCAGGATATTTCCAAGCTAGTATACATACCAGATGACATACAGGAATATGATGGCAAAAAGCTAATCATTTGATATGAATCAAACGGAAACTAGTAAACCTTTCAAAGTCAACCATACAGTACGTATACGCACATTAAGCTTGGTCAGGAGCGCTATTCGTAAAGACTGCAATAACCACATTTAAGCGTACACATAATTAAGCTAGAAGACTCGGGGATCTGATGCATGGTATATTACAAGGAAACTAATGATGCATATCTGCATGGGTAACTTAAAGGCAGGTAAGGCAGTTGGACCAAAGGAAAGGCAAAATGGACTTTTATTCATGTTAAAGGCTTTTGCGGAATGACAAAGTCGCAGCTATTGCATTGCAGGACAGTACAGGAAGCAACTAGAATCTACATGATGCTTTATGTTGTACGCTGAGAATGCCAACTGCATTATGGCAGACCAGGCAAGAAGCACTACAACAACAATGTGCGACAGACAAGAATCTCAGTCTGGGCGTATGTGGGAAATTGGGCGTTACAAAAGCACTACAGACATTACTGCGACAAGCCAAGGGTGGGGTACAAGATTATCTACTGCGAAAATGATGCTACTGCTAAGGGAGCAAGGAATCTCTGCCTGCGAATGCTCTGAGGGATAGGCAAGGCTGTGCTATGCCGGATCTACTCAGTTGAGGCATTAGCATACAATTAAGACGTGGGGGGCATAGGGCGATCAAGAGCGCGGCATCAAAAGCGCAGAGCAAATGCGACAAGGGATAAGAATAGGTATTGAGGAGATGGGGCATCCTAGAGTGCTGCGTGGTTGCAACACGGCCAAGGAAGGGAGAAAATCAGGAGGGTAGAGGAAGGAAAGGCAGGGCTGCAATCCCAATTGCGAACGGTAGGGGGCCTCACTTGGATCTGGTTTCGGAGGAGGAGGAGCGGCCTGCTGTTGGGGCACTTCCTGCTGCATGGTCATGGATCCCCAGCCCGGCATGGACTGGAAGCTGGCTCCGTACGGCAGCGTGGCGCTCTGCATGGGCGCCTGGGCGATGATGTAGGCTGGCTGCTGGAAGCTCATCCCCGCGGGCAGGGTGGAAAACGACGACATGGACTGTTGAACCTGTCCCCGTCCTGAAAACGTGGATGAGGTTACGGTGTATGCATGGTAAACAACATGTGAGCTGCCCTCCACCGTTTTTTTAAACGTGGATGAGGTTACGGTGCATGGTAAACAACATGTTCCACCACATTTTTGACAGCCGCACCGATGACAGGCTATGTGGCATATTTTTTTCTTTAACTGCCTCTTCGCAGATTTTTGATAGGTACCACAATCTAGAGATCGGGAACTTTAGAAACACGGTAAAAAATTCTCATCAGTGATTGTATTGTTGGATTTTTATGGGTTCACCACACCACGAAGTGGTGTGGTGAAACCATATTGCTTTTTCTGATGTTTCTTCTTCTTCTTCTTCTTCTTCTCCTCCTCCTGCCATTTTTTAAATGGATTCAGCTTCTTCATTTTAGGGCCCAAGGTCCTGAAATTTGGTATGGAGGTACAGTGGGCAAATACCCCTAGGCGTTTTTTAAATTATTGTGATACAGGCTTTTAGAATGGTTTTATTTGAGTTTTTTGGCTGTGTTATAGCAAATGTATTACTGTATTAGTGTGCCTTGTTTACCACGTTTGGACATGAGTCATCACAATGGAATGCAGGGCATCAACCAATAGGCATGCAGCTTTCCTCTATTCTTCTTGCTGATTGGCTGTTGGGATTTAACTTGATTAACACCTGCATAGATCATTTCCACCTGCACAGAGCATTTCTTGCTGATTGGCTGTTGGGATTTAACTTGATTAACACCTGCTCAGAGCATTTCCATACTGACAGTATGTCTGTATTCAAGTGTTTTGGTAGGTATTTCAAGCTTTCCTGCTCCAGCATTGGAATGCGGGGCATGGACGTTTTTTTTATTTTGAAAATCAACAGTTTGCATTATGCAATTAAAAATCCTAACCAATAAAGTAGGGAATAGCTATCCAACTGTTGTTTTAGTTGTATTTTACTTCATATTATAGTTATATCAATGTAAATCATTGTTTTCCCTTGTGTTTCTCATTCTTTCCCTGCCATGTCGTAAAATGTGGTGAACCCATCGCTGTATTTGCTCCAAAGCAAATATTGGCCTTTCTAGTTTTACACGTTTTCTATTTAAGTTATTAAAAGTCTCTAAGCCTTATCCACATGAAGTTTCAAGAATGAACGTAAGAATAGGCAATTGACCTTAGATGCCAAATTTTGGCAAAAAATACACATGGTGGGAGCATATTTGCTACAGTAAGAGTTAGACGTGTAGTTACTGGGAAACTAAGACTAATAAGACAAACAGTACTGGCAACAGAAGTTCTCCTGCTACACCTCGCGATGAGGAGGACCAAAGAAGAAGAAGACCTTTACCAGGCAAACTTCCGCCCAGCATGACACTGCCCGACTCGGTCCAGGGCCCCGGTCCGTAGTAGTTCTCTGCGCGAACCCGGAAGCGGTAGTGGCCGCCGGGGTTGAGGTTGCCGACCCGGTGGGAGGTACGGGTGGCGGAGGAGGACACCGTGGTCCAGCCGTGCGCGTCGTTAGAGTCGCGCTTCTGGATCACGTAGTTGGTGACCTGGGGTGATAGATTCGAAGAAAAATTCGATTGATGTTACGTTCACCTTAAGTGTCTGTGCTGCAAAGACGTGCGTTCAACTACTGTTCAATATACATATCCAGTGCAAAACATGTCTCATAAAAACTTAAAAATGTTAAGAATTAAAGACGGGTGTTAAAACAATTAAGTCCGTTCAACGTGTGCTTAGTTACAGCACTTTTGAGTGTAGATCCAAGGTGTTTCTCAATGTGTTTAAAGTGTTATCAAGACGCCAAATAAATGAATAATAAAAGGCAAATCTACATGTAAGTCCTTGGACATGTACACATGTGCACTATCCAAAACAGTGCCTGATCCTAATCCTGACTCATTCAATCACAGAACTAGATAGGCACAATAGGCCTCTTGTAAAGAATGCTGGGGACTTTCCTTGGTGCTGAAATGTATGTTAGACACTGGTCCCTCATTACATACTTGCAAACAAATCAATCATTAGTTCGTACTTATAAACCTGCCTTTCTGACAACTCTCCAGTGTCACTGACAAAAGGTAGTGGATGCTACCTGAAACGTCTGACCGTTTCCAAAATCATATCCAGTTGCTTGAGTAACTGTTTTTGGCGTACATATTTCCACTAACTGATTCCTACTCACCTCGCTGCCGCCATCGTCCAACGGCGGGCTCCAGCGAAGGGTCACCCGGTCACCGGTCACTTCTTCATAGGTCAGGGTCCCGGGGACGCCGGGAGGTCGGCCTGGTGGCACAGGATGAACAGTTTGAGCACAACTTATACATATTCAAGAAAATGTGGAACTCGCGTATATATGTTTAGCAAATGTATAGCGACATTATTTTTCCTGCTTTTGGTGTTCTTAGTCCCCTAAGGGCTATATTGTCAATGGGAATCTCTTTTTTCATTAAGCCTTACTGCACAAGTTTGAGGAGAATAATCCCTACCATGGCGGCTCTGGACCATGATCCGTTCGCTCTCGGTCGGTTCCCCGACGCCGCACTGGTTCTCAGCCGCCACACGGAACAGGTACTCCCCACCGGGCACCAGGTTAGGCACGGTGTAGTTGAAACCTGCGGCAACACATTGCAATACAAGTTTGATAGAGTACGAATTCTCTGCACACAACCAATGTTTCCGACGTTTCTATCTGTGAACTGTCTGCGACACATATCCAGAACCGTGCCTGTGGCAAATCTACGTTCTTGGATACACGAAGACTATCCAGAAACGTGCCTGATCCATGATCCAAACCACGCCCATTCAGTAATAGAACCAGATAGGCACTGTTCTGAATACGATAGACGCCTTCCTCAGAGCAATAGTGGCTGGTTCTACTTCTAACTTTTGTAATATTACGGCAGTGCTTTAAGAAAATAGTTTAAACCTCGGAGATAGAACACTCATGTACTTCAAATTTAAGGTCTTTAAGTATTTCAGATCTTGACCATACTCAGAAAGTATTGACAAATGTACCTGGGACATAAGGGTTGACCATGACCCAGTTGTTGCGGTCATAATCGAACTTTTCAACCGAGTAGTTAGTGATGTTGCTGCCGCCATCGTCCATTGGCTGTCGCCATGACAACGCCACGGAATCCTGCATGATGTCATCGACACGCACCTCTTTAGGAGGTCCCGGCTTGTCTGTGTTGGAAAAAGAAAAATAGCATGTTACTATAGTGCGTACCCCCATTGCCTCCTAATAACATTGGAGATGTATTGGAGATGTACTATATATTAAGTTTCTACATTCTTTATTGTATAGGGTTGACTTCTTTGAAGGCCCATAAAATTCCCCACGTTTGTGTATGATTTTGCGTGGATTTAGTAGCCTTTTGGGGGTTTTCTTTTGGTATGATTTGCATGCACATAGATTAAATAGGTAAAATAGATTGCCGCCATGTGAGAGATATTTACCGATGACGACCACGTCCACGTCAGCCTTGGCTCGTCCGGCGGTGTTGGCCAGGGCCAGGCGGTAGTTCCCGGCGTCAGACCGCTGGCAGTTCTTGATGGACAGGGTGGTGGAGGTGGCAGCGTTCTCGATCGTCACTCGGTCGCCACTGAAATGAGAAATCAGAGATTTTATTCAGACTTCTGGCAAGTGTGTAATTCCCTTTCTCTTCTTCGCAAGCTCCAAAGAGAGGCCCACTCCCTGTCTGTACACAACACAGCAATGAGGTAGTCGCCACCGTCACTTCCCCCTCATGTCGACCGGTCAGACTCTGAAACCTTTCCCCTCTCCTCATCTCAATCACCAACCCAGGACTGTTAATCTACTCTGCCTGACACGAAACTGGTGTCAGGCAGCCTGGCACCAGTTAGCCACCCAAAGAAATACTTCCTTGGCCGGCAGAAAAAATGTTTTCGATGATTAAGACAATGGAAGCTTGGGCTGAATGAGCAAATGAGCGTTAGAATTCGAAGGCCAATGGTAATTAACTCTGTGTGCAATGGAAACGAGTAAGAGATAAATGGAATTTTTTTTGCCAACTGATTGATATGGAACGATCGATCGATCGATCGATCGATCGATTGATTGATTGATTGATTGGTTGTTCTAACCTGTAGATCTCCACGTCGTCCTTGGTCCAGACGATGTCCGGAGTGGGTCGGCCGCTGAACGGGATGTCCAGGATGATGACTGACCCTGTCTTCACCACCAACTTGTCCTTCAGGTCAAGGTTAATCATCGGAGCAGCTGCACGACAGACCATACAAGGTACCAGTCAAGTTTTTTTTTCCAACATGTAATCACCAGACGTGGTGACGACACACTCAAGTTTTTTCAACTTATATTAATGCCGCCACCAACACAGGGGACAAATACATGACAGGACAATACTCTTTTACACCTGAGCTAAGTGAGGAAAGCCGTGTAAAGTGCCTTTCCCAAGGGCACAAGATCGGTGGCATGATAGGACTCGAACCCGCGACTCTAAGTTCCGAGTCGCGCACTCTGCCGCTACGCCACACGACCCCACACTACCAGTCAAGGTTAATTCCCAAGCAGATCTTTTGGTGGCTGCAAAGACAGTATCAAATTGGCCAGACAGTTACCGTTGCCAATAGCCAATTTGATACTATCTTTGCAGCCACCTAAAGGTCTGCTTGATTTAGTCAAGGTACCATACATGTCAACAGTTGCGTGGCTATGACATCGTCAAACCACCAATATGGCTGACCTCAAGAGTATACGTACTCCTTTTATTTGCTGACTCCTATTTTCCTACGGTACATTAAGGAAACAGACTGGTAGATATACTTTTATGTTACAGCGATCTTGAGTGAAAAAGGTCTTGTACATGTCGTTGCCGTTTCATAGAGATATCAAATACCAATGCTTATTTAGAGAAAGTAGATAATAACTTACCTGCTGCAACTGGAGCGGTTGCGTTCACAAGACCACCATCAACAACAGTCGCTGGAAATGGTACAAAACGTTCATACATTTAGAAACTACTTAGGGCAAAAATTTCTTTTAGAGAGTCTCTGTTGGCTCATGCGAATCTTTAGATCACGGTTCATAACTCTTAGGCCATGTTGATTTGATTATATGGATGGCATCCTCCGGGAACCCCAAAACTGATTAAAAAAAGTTTTGCAAAAAAAAATGTTTTCATTATGAAATCTAAGTGGTCATGAGGGTTGAACAAATGGGACAGAATATGGTTTGGCGAATTATCTAGTCTTCAAGTTCATTTCTTTACAATTTCGTCTTTTTCGTTTGATTTTTGGCATTCTGCGACATTGGTATAGTTTTTTTTGTAACTTACGGTATATTTTTGCTCATTTTGCAACTGTTTTGTACGATTTACAGTATATATGGTTGAAAACTTTTTTTTTTGGAAACGGCCGAAAATTCATGCGCGCGTGGATGTCATCCATATAATCAAATCAACATGGCCTTATTCAGATTGCCAAATGGAGCAAATGTCTTACCTCCTCCAGCGATAAATTCAGGGTTGTGGTGTGTTGTGACCGGAGGGGTGTAGATTGCACTGTCTCCCTGCGAATAGGCAGACAAGAAGGGATAAGGATCCTGTAAGGATCTATGCAAGCTCTTATTTCAAATGGCAGCTACATATACGCAGTGCCGTGGTAAAAAAAAACAACAAGTAATCATCCCATGAGTAACATTCCATCGGAATCTTGCTGATTATTCCAGCTATGGGACTTAGCAGTAATGAAGATGATCAGACTTGTCTGACATTGAAGCCCGATTTAACACATTTAATCTTGCTCTCGTGAGTAATTTTTGCAAGAAAGTTAATCATTTCATTCATCAACAATTCCTTTAGATTATCTCCAAGTTTTCTCCATGACCAATGATTGCTGTGATGTTCACTCATCCAGCCTCTACCAGGCACCGCGGATCGCTGGAAAAATAGTAGAAATTGGCCGAAATAAAGGGATAGTATACCAGAGAAGATCCAGGGCCATAGAAGCTCCAATTTGCGACCCACGGATTTGGAGCTTCTATGGTCCTGGATCTTCTCTGGTATATTAATTGATAATCCCTTTATTTCGGCCAATTTCTACTATTTTTCCAGCGATCCGCGGTGCCTGGTACTGAGGCTACACTCATCGGCTGCCAACGGTCTCTGTAATTTGAAAACTGAGCCCTAGATATCATCATCGCTAATTGGTCTCAGCGTATCCACTCTGCTTACCGTCATAATATTATTAATTGATGTAATAATTTATGCTTAATGTGTAATTTATTATGTTGATAAGATGAAGTTTTCATGTAGTATAATGTCCTTGATGGCAGTTAAATGTGTATGTAAATAATAGTTGTGTTTTGTGTAAAGGACTCCAGGAAGAATAGTGATGTATATATTATCACTAATGGGAGATTCCTAAATAAACAAACAAACAAACAAACAAACAAACAAACCGTGTCCCATGCAGCCTGAGCCTTCATCTCATCCTGCCAGAGGAGGAACTCCTGCTTGTCCTTGTAGTAGGCCCAGCATCTCCAGCAGCACAGGCAGCACAGACCCAGCAGGAGGATGGCCAGGATGATGCCCAGCACCAGCCACCACCACGGGAACGGCGTCACGCAGTCTGTAACACAGGTACAGGTTTGTGATTAATGAATGAGTGAGTAAGAGATGGAGGAATGATTGAGTGAGTGAATGAATGAATGACAGTCCCAATAACAGAATGGCTACAGTTAGCCATGACCATGGGAACGGCGTCAGGCAGTCGGCAATATGGGTTCATGTCTTGAATGAGTTAGAGACGATTGATTGATTGATTGATTGATTGATTGATTGATTGATTGATTGATTGATTGATTCAAGTGAATAGATGAATGGCAGTCTCAACAACAAAATGGTCAGCACCAGTCACTACCATACGAACGACCTGGAATAAAAACAGGCACGTTCTTTCATCTTCAACGCCAGTTCATATTCTCCTCGTGTTGTAGCGTGCTGCACATTATAGTGCTAGCCCTGCGACCTCTGGAAGACGTTGCTTCTTTTTTTAAAGAGCGGTAACTTCTTTCCACAATGCACACGTTAAGGAACAGGTGTGAGAATCTTTAAAAAAGAAAACAAAAGCCCTTACCTTTATTCTACTAGTATCTTGTAGACAACAATGGCCTTTACCTTTGTTCTTGCGGACCTCAATGACGAAGTCGTCAGACGTCGTCCCCTTGTAGGAGTCTGTGCCGTACGTGTAGTGGACCTTGCAGCCGTCATCGTCAGTGTACGCACAACGTGTCACTCCAACATCTGCAGCAAGAAAGGGTCGTTAACTTTTAAGACATTTTTAGACAAAGACTACCCGGTACAATAGCGTTAGTACTTGCTAGAGTGTTCGCTTTGTATTTGGGAAAGTCACTGGTGGAAGCAAAGACCCCAAAACCAAGCTAGTTCGGAGATACCTTTGAGAAACTTTTGTTTTTTTTCCAGTAGTTGGTTATTGTTTCATTCATGCTTCGATTCCTATTTGTCCTCATATCTTCCTATATCACCAAACATGGCCCATCCCCAAACACCAACTTGAAGGCAAGCTTAAGTCAATGACAGTAACACTGAATGGTACGAACCGTCTCGCAGCCTGTCGGACATGTAGACCTTGTCCACACATCTGCCCACACAGACCTCCTCTGTCCAGTTCTTCCCCCAGGCGTGGCACTGGACACACGGCTTCAGCTGGTCACACTTCCCTGGACACGCCTGGAAACAGAAGTAAAGCCGCTCAAATTACAAAAAAAAAGGAAACGAAAACTCTAACCTGGCCCGAGTTGTTTAGAGGGTAAAATTATGAATAAAAATGATGAAGAATAGGTTTTCATAAAGCCACGCTTCTTTGAAAGTGGCTAAAAAACAATTCCAAGTGAAAAATATCTTAAATAGAAGCCGAACCAGACATGTGTTCCATTTGAATTCACTTGCAGCACCCCGATGGGACTGACTTTTGTCGCATTACATCACAATACTCTTACTAGTACTTGGAGTGGCTTATGAATGGTGCGAATGATATGATATTTGATAAACCGAAGATTAAAGAAATGTATGATACGATTGCCGTCGGCAGTACCTGACACTCCTCGCAGAACCTGCCGCTGTACCCCTCCTCACACACGCACACCCGCTGGTCCTCTCCGTCGTTACAGGCGCACTCACCGTGGCCGTTACACAGGTCCTGAACACACGGGCAGCAACGAAACATTTACATGCCGACATACATAACCTTCTGACAAGTAAGCAAGTGTTTACCTTCACATTCGGATGATCTATTTCAATAAACCACTGCTCTGTTAAATATTCTTACTCAAACCCATTCGTTGGATATGACCAGCCGCTCCAACCCTGTTCTTAAACTTGCTACATAATGTATTCCAACCCCACAGGACTACATCACCAGTTACCATGGTGACAGCCGTCTAGTCCAGGTCATTGACCTTTTTTGTTTGGGAAGAAGAAGTCGACGAAATAGAGCAAAAACAATACTTTTCTTGCGTCTGCAAAGTTTAAAAACATAACAAGTGCCATAGTAGTGATCATCATAAAATGTTAGATGCGGTGCTTCACTATTACCCCATACATACAAACATACACATCATCATCATCAGGTCGGGAGTTTGGGGTCCCAGACCCTCTTCAATCAGCCCGCTTTGTCCGTCATGGCGCCCGCCAGGTACTCCTTTACAGGTACTCCAAACATACGCACACGTATCCATTACCTGCGACACTTGTACAACCTTACTCTTATCGATACGTGTGATGGAATTTTTAACGTGACTATCTCTACTAGTACTAGTACTTCCTAGATGTTAAACTTACGGCATCGGCCGGTGCGTTGCTCGGTTTGCAGACTGAACGGTCGCTCGGGCACTGGCAGGCGCTCCCCTCCCGGCCTTCTTTACATTTGCAAGTGCCACAGTCACATGTTCCAAACGCCGGACCTATACAGAGGTGAAAAAAGGTTACAAACATGCCTGACATATCGAAGTCCTGTATACACTGGGTCTTCAGGGACTTCATCTTGTGCCTAATGAAGTAAACCTTGCCTGTCTGTCTGTATGTGCATGCCAGTGTTTAAATAAGAGTTTAGGTAACAACACTTGATTACGAAACACATGTTTTGGAATACTACATGCATTCCACTTCGTGTTATTCCAAATCATATTATCATGAAAGTTCATCTGTGTTGGTAGTAATCATAGTAACTCTCGCGAGATCAAGTTGTGAAGTGATTGGTCATTAATTATCCTGATGAAGGCAACAGTGGTCGCTGAAAATTTGATCCCTGTAAATTGTGTGTTGGAATAAAGTTCAACGTTTTTACCATTCCAAAATTAATCATGTTTGGGAATGGAAGACGTTTTTGAAGACGTTTTGGGAGACAACAACGTACCCCCACAGATCGCTCCGTTGAAGCGTTCGCAGGCCTGGTTGTCACACTCGCAGTATCTTCCCGAGAAGCGCTCGGGTCTGTCGCAGTTGCACTCCCCGCACAGACACGTGCCCCTCCGCTCGCACGGATCCGGATTGCGGCTCCCCGGCATGATGCAACCCTCGTTGTTGGCAGCAACTGTGTTGTTGGAGGCATCGCAGGTACACGTCTTTCCAAGCCTGGAAATGCAGACAAAGAATGATACTAGTAACCATCATCATCATGATGCCTCCGGATTATACTAATCCGGTGAGGTACACTTGATAAAGTTACTCCAGTATGTCCTATCTCTCATAGCGGACACTAATGCAGGCCCTGCGAGACCAGTGTCTCTCTCTAACATGGACAAAAGTGTAGTATAAGGACGTCCCACTCTACGTCTCCCAGTAGGAAGCCACTGTACTAGTCTACCAGCTGGTTTGTTACTACGAACAACATGCCCGGCCAGGGCAAGTCTATGTCGTCGGACTACAGATGAAATGGGCGGGAGAGAGCCATAGAGTTGTTTGTTTGTTAGGTGTTGTCTCCATGAAACATTATACTCTGCCCAGAGCAAGAAACTAGATGGTACATATACAAGAATGTTAAGAACAGTGTATAATACTAGTAAACAATGCATCTTTATCACCTCTATGTTAGTGAGTTCGCGGCCATAACTCATTGTAGGTTTGACGTATTTATTTGATTTTTGGTATATGGTTAGTTATTGAAGTCCAGATGTATTTTTTTCATAATGACCACTTCATAATGTTTGTACCGTTCATTGTTGTTGGGTTTGACTTGGAGGCAATGGCCAATGAATTGATACTCACCATCCAGAGTCACAGACACACTGTCCACACTCAAATGTCCCGTGGAGGTTACATTCCCGACTTGTTTGAATCTGAAAAGCATTGAAATGTCTCCATGATGAAGCTATTTTGTCATTGTTTTCCATCAGTTAGAAGTATCTTCGTTGTTAGTTGTAATTGGCCTTGAAGCTACGAATACGCAATAACTTTATCATCATCGCCATCATTATCATCACTTTTGTTCTGTCATCATTATCTTTTGTTGACTGGGAAAATCCACCACATCAATCCTTGTGATTTAAAAAGATGACTTATTTCAGAAGTCTTTTGCTACTCACCGCGTTCTTCTCGCAGTCACAAGACCCGAGGTACTTCAGCTTGGCCACCAGCTCTTCGTGGAAACCCACCGGTTTGATCTTGAACTCGTGTATGTAATCGGGTTGCAACATGGCGGAGTCTTCCGGGATGTCGTTCATCGTCAGGTCAACCTTAAAGGTCACCTGAGGACAACAGAGGGTGTTGGAATAAATTTCAGCATCGTGCTATGATTCCTACCAATACAGATGAACTTCTATGATTATCAGATAATACAGACCCCCCAACTCTGTCTTGCAAGTTGCTACATAATGTAACCCAACACCACAGGGAAGTCTGCTACAGCACCAGTTACCATGGTGACAGATGTCTGGTCCAGGTCGTTGACCTTATGTGTTTGGTGAAGAAGAAATAGAGCAAAAACAATATGTATTCCTTTTGCAAAGGTGAACATAGACAAAGACAGGTAACATTATTTTGTTCTTTCATCCCAGCGATAAGAAGGTATGGAAACCCACATACCTCGTCTCCTACTTGCACGTTGGTACATTTGCTCCCCTCCCTCTGCCCTCTACCACAGTTGGGAGTGACCGTGTAGGACATATACTCGCTGGGGAAGTTCACGAAGTTCAACTCGATCTGGGACAGCAGTTGCTGTAGAAGACAGAAGTTACACAGAATTGGTCCACGGATAGAATTACAGCCTATGATTTGAAATGTTGTATGTTTGTATATGTCTATGAATTCAATGGTTCTGAAGCCTACAGTGTTATATTTGTAATACAACGCAGTGTTGTTCATGATTCAAAGAACGTACGTATACGTATGCGACCTTTTTCTTGTAGCATGTTCATGAATTCCTTTTTTGTCCACTGTGTATTTGTGGAAACAAGTGTATTGTCTCACGTTGTAGGACCGCTCTATAAGTGCGATGATGTTACTGGAGTCAGCCTCTAGCACTCCGGCTGTCGCCAGGCCTGCGAACTGGTTATTTGCCAAGCTCTGCAACGAGAAGGTGAAAAATGTTATCCTGATAATCTAACTACACACATCTTAGACTAGAGTCACAGACAGTCAGCTACGTAGGATGCACTAGACGTTTGGCGAAGGTTGACTGCACAGCCGGGAAATTGTCAGGCGTCTGCATTTTGCGTTCAGTTTCCATCATGTATTTTGTTCAGGAAGTAGTATAATGCACATAGCACCATAATGCAGATGTCACAATTAACCATGGGTAAGCAGAAGACTCAATTACTGCAGCAGCAGTTTCTTGCTATACCAGCATGTACACCACAAAAAATAGGCAAAATAGGCAATTTAAAACAGGAACTATTAGATTTCTAACCAAAGAATAAATTTTGCGTAACAAACATGTGATAAAAAATTTTCTGCAGTTTCTGTCGGTAACAATCAATTGCTTTGCATTACGCCATGGATAAGACGTTAATTCAGGTATTGCTGCATTTCAAGTATTCTCTACTGCAAAATTATTTTTTACCTCGTAGATACTCTGGAACTTTTTGTCCACGGCGAAGATGAGCAGAGTGTTGGTGGCTTCCAGAAGGGATCTGATCTGACTGATGGACGGATAATCCTGGAAAGATACAGAAACCGTAAGTTCTGCTGCAGTGATAATCCTGGAAAGATACAGAAACCGTACGTTCTGCTGCAGTATTGAAGAAAGGCGGGCCCAAGACATATCAATCAAGACCGAACCACAGGCCAAATTCAGAAAAAAACTCAAACCTTCTTGAATAGCTTTAAACAATGTCTAGAGTAGGAAGTTCAAGGGTTAGGTGTAAAAAGTCGATCGGTGCAATATAGCCAGCTGCCGCAGCGCCGCGTGCCTGCGAAGCTGGTGTGTTACGTCGAAAGGCGGTTATACCGGCTATACAGATACAGAGTCATACTGGTAGACCATATACGAAAACACCGTTACAACATACACTGTTCCAGACGCTACCAAAATTCTTGGCAAAGATACCTTAGACAATTAGACAGACCAAGGATTCTTCAAACGCCTTCTGAACATACAATAATCTACGCAAATGTATCTAGCTTCAGCTGGCAGACCTGGTTTTTCTCCTCCGTGTATTTTCCTCGTACGTCCAAGTGACACTTCTCGTCGTTCTTCTTGACGATGCCGCCGAGCTTGCCGTCTCCAGCCGAATGGAACGGCGCGTCGCTGGCGTACAGGATAATGTGGGTGGAGGCCTCCCGCCAGCCAATCTTTTGCTGATGGGGGAAGAAACAACAAGACGTCATCATCAAGGGACAAATTTTCTATCCAGAAAGGTGATTTCCCCAGAACTACGCTCAGGCACGGTTCTGGATAGGAGACTACTCAGAACCATGCGTGATATCATCCCTCATCCATTTAGGCGTAGATCGGTTCTGGAGGCGATGACATCCTTGATTCTTCAAGCTTCTCTTTCTTTCACGATGTTATATGTACATGTACATATGTTCTGTTTTGTGGGTCTTCCTACGTCTTCAGTATTCTATCATGAAAGTTCATCTGTGTGACACGTCTCACTGTGTCAGTCTACTGAGGAAGACCAGTAGACTGAGGGACTGGTCGGAAGCTCTAGGTGACTGAGAGAACTCTTTTGTGCTATAATACCTAAATAAGCTTTGCGGCTTACCCTGCACACGAGTGCCTGCAGCATGCCGTCGAACCCTCCCTCCGCGGCGTCCAGGTTGCCGGAGCTCCTGATCTTCCCGACCTCGGTTTTAAACAATTCGGCATCGTGCGTGAGGGACAGGGCGTTGATGTAACTGAAGGGCGGGGCGGCGCCCGGGAGGGGCTCCAACAGCCTGCAACACAGGAGGGGAGGAAGACATGTTTTTTTTTGTATTCTAACATTTTTTACAAGACATGGCGACGGCAAACTCAAGTTTTTTAAAATATTAATATGCCGCCACCAACGCAGACAAACGCATGAACGAACAGCAGACATACTTACTGTGACCTGAGGAAATTGAAAAAATTCGTGTAAAGTGGTTTTCCCAAGGACACAAGATCGGTGGCATGGCAGGATTCGAACTCTGGACCTTTTGGGTCCGAGCCGAACGCTCTGTCGTTACGCCACACGACTCACACTTACGGCACACGACCCCGTGACACAGGAGGACATGTTACAGTACGTACGGCCATTGCGGTTGACTCTTAGGATCCCAGCTCCATTCAGCCCTTACCGGGTCACATTGTCGTCACATTCGTTGTGTGTGGTCGTACTATTTTAGAATTCTCCAGTAGGCTGTTACAGAACCAACCTTCGACAGGGGTCTGGTTTTTCTTTTTCCAATGTGGTGGTCCTGGGGTACCCAGCATAGCATATTAATGATAGTCGATGTTATACCTACAATAGTCTAGGTGTGGTGTATTTGAGAGATATGAAGCATGTTCATGTATCAACGTACTTTGCTGGCGACGTGTCCACATAGGGAGACACGGTCTTGTCCACAAAAGCGCCGAACCCAACGTTGAAGTTCTTGGTAAGTATCCTCAACTGGTCGGCTAAAAACACACACAAAAAACATGTAAAACGGACGTTAAATTAGAATAACCGGTACCTTACCTACTCATGATCTAACACAGAAATTGACACATTAATTTTATCAAAGTATGTAGACTTGGTAAATTGTACTTTGTTAACTTTCATCGTTACTTACTACATGTAGGAAAGATCAAATCAGTGTGGCCTAACTTTAAAAGTAGTACTGTTAACAGTAATGATCAGGATGCGTGTGAGAACTCACTCAGAGTCTCAGCAAGCCCCTTCAGATTTTCCAAATCGTCCTTCATAGAATCGGACAGGTCCATAAGGTAGTAGAGGTCGGCAGGGTAGTCCTTCGGGCGGTACACGTTCATGGTGAAACTGTAGGTCGATCCTGGAAGGGGGGGGTGATGTGAAATCAAGGATGTTATGCTACGCCAAAAAACTCAGGTTACTCAAGCAACTGATCCAAAATCATATCCAGTAGAGCGACTGTTTTTTTTGGTGCATCTTATTACCTGGATGTCTAACCTTCACCAACTTATCAAGGATGTTATGTTTTGTCTGTATCGTTAAGTTTGTGAGTCACTGGGTTTGTGAACTATGTATTTCTTTTAATGTCGTCATTGATTGATTGATTCATTCATTCATTCATTCATTCATTCATTCATTCAGACTGTGAATAAATCTTTATGATATTCCATGTTTTTGTAAGTGCCAAAAAACACGCTCTTTGACACTGCCAGTTTCTTTTTTACCTTTCGGAAATGAGTTACAGTTTGCGGCACGATGACAGTTTTTTTGTAATAATTTCCGACGGGAATCCCTGCAAAGACTTTCACCCAAATATGCTTGTAAAGTGCATAAAAAATTTACATTGAAGTACAATTTGTGACATACTCATATACAAGAACATGATATTTCCTACAAAACGAAATTAAGGAGCGAACAGTCACCTTTTCTCATGTCCAGCTTAAGTTCCTTGGGAGAAATGCGGTTGATGTTAGCCAAGGTGTCGTCGTCGGCCTGACGCTTCTTTCTCCCAGTGTCGCTGCCACGCCCGCCCCTATTGATGAAGTCGTCCAGACTGAAACATAGAGAGAAGAGTCAACATTAGAACCATCTTGATGTGTGGAATATTTGCGTCAAGTCAAAAACATCTAGGCGACACATTAATTCTCACTAGCATCATCTCACATATACATGTAACAGTTTCCCTCATTCAACGTAGAGACCCGATTTTTGGACATTTTGCATACTGTCCTAATTATAGGAACATTGCAAGAACTTATAGGTTCATATCATCCCCGAATAAGGTTAAGCTTAACGCTTCGTCAAAAGCTATAAATATGTGTAAAATCTAGTGAGACTGAAATCTTTCAGGTGGCTCTCTGCGCTTTATTGGAGTTTTTTTTTGGGGGGGGGGGGCATCGGCACCTGTCGTACCAAATACTGTTCTTTGTCCATAGTCTGACATATAAACATGTACATAGCTAGCCACTGACTTGGAAAAAAAGGTGTCGGAGTCCAAACCGCCTTCTCCTCCAAACGAGCCAGAGAAGGAAGATGAGCTGGAGCTGGACGATCCTCCTCCAGTCCCGCCTCCTCCGAAAGAAAATCCTCCGGAGCTACCTCCACCTCCGGTCCCTCCTCCGAAGGAAAATCCTCCGGAGCTACCGCCGCCTCCTGTTCCGCCTCCTCCGAAGCTACCTCCACCTCCTGTACCGCCTCCTCCGAAGCTACCTCCACCTCCTGTCCCGCCTCCTCCGAAACTAGAAACAAGGAAAGATTAATATATAGCGACAATCTTACTTCCCGGTACGGAAATTGTTTTGGATGGCTGAGCGATGGATTTGTGTCTCCGTTCAAGAAGAGCGGGTTGATAGCACGTGGGTGTGGGGAAGATTCAGGAGCAGATGCCAGGAGGTGAGACGGTCAAAAGCAGGAATCGCAGTGAACTTGAGAGTCGGTTGGGAGCGCATGGGTTGGAAAGATTGACAGCCAGAATGACAGAAAGTCAAAAGCCCATACACAGGAAACTGGGTGAACTTGACAGTAGGTTGGGGGAACATGGGTGGGAAAGACTGACAGGCAGAATGACAGGAGGTCAAAATGTCAGATACAAGAAACTTGGGAACGTGAGAGTAGGTTGTATACGGATGCTGTAACTTTTGGACAGCATGTATTTACGGTAAAACTGATCAGTCCTGTAGGTGGATTCCTACTGCAGTATTAATATTTATATCAGCACATGGTGACTATTTCAGGACGCTGGAATGGATCGCAAAGTTATTATCATCAGAGACGATCCTTAGCCCGGCCCCAATGTTGGTTCTGTGCACGCAGACTTGGAATCGGTTGTCACTTTAACAAACAAACAAATTTAAAAACAAACAAACAAACAAACAAACAACAAACAAACACAATTACCTGACGCTTCCCCCGGATGATGAACCGGAAATCGAGGTAGATGATGAAGATGACGAAGACGATATTGACGATCCTACATTAAGGGACAACAGTTTAGCGGAAATGACACTCAAAACGCGAAGAGTATGCCGGTGAACAGACCGTGTGGCTCCCCGATCTCTACGGCGCTGAGAGTGTGCCCGCCCGCCCAGCCTCCCATCCAGTGCACGCTAGCTAGGGACTCTAGGACGGCAGCAATATTACAAAAGCCGGCTGGAAAGATCGACTTCTAAAGCAAAGGCCTGTGCCAACCGAACTGGGGCCGAAACGCTCCAAAGCTGGGGCGAATAAAAATGGTCACCTCTCTACAAAGTCTTTTGACACATCCTTACTTCTAGCAGAACATCTCTGGCTCTCCGGTGTAATAGCCACCTTAACGCTTATGCTGTCGTGTTTATTCTTGTGTGTGTGTATAGGCCCGCACACGCGCGCGTGTGTATGAGTGTGTGCGTGTGTCTCTGTGTATTTGTGTCTGTCTATTTACATGTTTTCTGTGCATGTGTGTGTCTATGTGTATGTATGTGTATGTGTATGCGCATATATCGCATATGTGTGTGTGTGTGTGTGTGTGTGTGTGTGTTTGTTCTTGGTAGGGGCTGTCCATGCACAACCTAATACAACCAAGCCTTTACTTGAGCCATGTATAATACAAATAAAAATCGCTGCAATTTTATAACGAATCAACACCGAACGTTAGCACAAAAAGTTAGCCCTGTTACCACTGGAAATAACCCTCGTGCTTGTGGAAATCGAAGCCACCTCCTCCAACACCAACACCTCCGACACCTCCACCACTGTTACCCCTTCCACCTCTGTTACCTCCTCCACTGATTCCACCTCCTCCGATACTTCCACCCCCCTCCTCCGATACTTCCTCCTCCTCCTCCGATACCTCCCACCTCCTCCTCCGATACTTCCACCTCCAATAGTTCCACCTCCACGTACCTCCTCCGATACTTCCACCTCCAAAAGTTCCACCTATAGTACCTCCTCCTCCTCCGAAGGAAGTTCCTCCTCCTCCGAAGGAATTTCCACCTCCTCCGCCTCCTCCTCCTCCGCCTGTCCTCGCTGCAGGCCCGCCCTCCCCGCAGGTGATCGGGTCGGCAGCGCACTCGTCGTGGCCCCACCGCTGGCCGATGCCCTTTTCGCTTACGCCAGACGAATCGCTCAGCCTGACGTCTTTGGTGATGACGCCTTCCTGCATGGCGAGAGCGGCAGATTTGTAGGTTAACGTACACAAGATGGCGCCGATATGACGTCATAATCCAACATGGCGGCGCCCATGGACGCCGGTGAAAACAATACAGGCTAATGTATGGGTCATCATCCGTTTTCGGCGGTACACTTGCAGATATTACAGAAATCTCTGTGCAATAGCTAAAAGTGGACACCTAATATATTATAGGCATGCACCTGAGGCGTTGCAAAAAACAAGAAGATACCAACAACGAACGAAGACATACCTCAGTTACTTCCATGTCTGCCATAGGGTTAAAGAGCGCTGCTAGCGGGCATCCCAGGTTCTCCAGATTGTTGGCTGAATCGCATTTGGGTCGAGTGTATGACTAGAGTGGCGAAGAGGAGAAATGTTTACAGCTGGCAGACAAGGGAGTAGATTCCATAGCTTGCAAAGGACCAGAAAGGTAAGAAGTAGAACATTGAGGCAATCAGAGACCATGGACAGACCCCCCCTTGACGTAGGTCAGATAAACACAAACATAAACACACACACACACACACACACACACACACACACACACACACACACACACACACACGACACACACACACACACACACATACACACACACACACACACATGTACACACGCACACAAAATAGTTGACAAGGAAGTACATGTAGTACCTCGGAGGAACACCATCCACACTCGGCAGCAACTCTGAGACACTCCTTACACGTCCTTGCGTTTGCAGACAAACATGGGTTAGCTGGGAAATGAATAAAAAAAAAACAACGGTTAGTCAATTAGCTAAACTTTTCTCAGTTTCACCGTAGCAGGTTGTAATGGTGTTTCACTTCAAATGATGCTCTTGCAGTACCAACTACAACAGATAGATGGGGCTTTTCACGCGTTACTTAGGGCCAACTGTTCAAGCTAGTGTAGCCTAAGCTAGTTCCTGTTGTTGC